GTGAAGTTTATCCGGCCACTACTATCCTTTATTGTGACGTTTACCCTAGTCTTTGACACGAGCCAGATGACAGAAACAAACATGAGGTTCCCCTCATAAGGGTCCCTTGGAAAGAGTACACAGGCAGCAGCAGCAGCAAAATGTTTCCGCTGACGCCAAGTAATCCAGAGTACAAGATCATTCCAGAGCATTCTTATGGCTTCCCAGTCCACTCACCTGGAGCCCCAGCATCTGTTCTTGCTGTAGGGTCCTGTTATAGTGTGTGATTACCAGGGCATCGTCTTTCCGGGAGCATGTGGGTTTTCCACAAAGCTGTTCCCTGAGGGATCATCGATGATCTAACGGATGGACAAAAAAAGAGTAACTGTAAGAAGTCATGATCCTCCACCTACCATCAGGCCACTCGGGCACAGTGGAAAATCAAAGACAGTCTTAAAAGTCCCTCCTCCCCTAAATCTAGGGCATCTTCAGTCCTTTCATACTCACCAAAGTGAAAGGAGAGGTCACGTGCTTTAGCTCTTTCAATTTGACGATGAACGCATCAATCCTTTCAGCTACGACTTCTTCTTTTGCCTGCCATAAATGAAGAATTACAGGATCAGTCCTGGTGACAGGCCTTATGCCCCCAATCCCTATTACCCCACATCACTGCCATCATGAAGTAATCACCTCTTAATGTGAGTGGAAACAGATTTGGATTTCACAATAGAATGTAGCAAATACTTTTGAAGTGTATAGGTGGTGCCAGGTGAGCCTCATTTTTTTTCATTCATTCATTCATTCAGCCCAGGCACTCAAGCCAGCTTAGAGATGGATGGTCAATAAATCACATTCCCCTCATGAGGTTCCCAGCGAATTAGGAAGGAAGATGGCTCTATATGCAATTATATTATTTCTGTTATAATAAGATATAATGCACCACTCAGGACAGATAAGTAAACCCAAGGTGATACACCAAGGGGATTAGAAAAGGCTCTTCAGAGTTAACATTATACAGTCTGAGATGAGGCTTCAATATATTTTGCAGGAGAAAAGAACAGGACAAAATAGGGACAACATCCTGGCAGCCTGGTCATCATCATATGCTTCCCAAAAAGTTTTAGGTCAGAGAGGGTTCAGCTACATAAGAAGCTAAACACTGTAGTCAGACATGTAAAAGCAATTATTCCAAGACGCTGCAATCAGAAAACCCCAACTCACCCTTCGAGTAGGTTGATCCTGCTCCAGGCCAGAGATAGCACGGCTGATCAATCCTTCAATAGTGGTCAGAGCTGGTGAGCAAGAACAACAGACAGATGAGTCAGGGCTCTGCTAACAAGAGCCTGTATGATCCTCGGACTTGACTTCCTCGTCTGTAAAATGAAGCAGCCAGGACCAAGGTTCCATCCATCGCCAATAACAGTGACGCTAACATTCTGTAATAAGCACATAGTCTTATTGGTAGTTTATCATTATCTACCATGCCAAGCTGTTCCATCTATGCTTTCCACTCATGTCAAACCAAGGAAGATCAATCACAATGGATACTCAGCCAAAGCCGCCACAAGCCACTAGACTCGGCACCAAGGATTTTCCAAGAAAGTGGGTGAGACTCCAATTAGGTTGGAATCTTTAAATTTACCTCCCTTCTGGCTGAACGCAGGAATTTCAAAATCCAGCTCTGGAATCCTTGTGGTAGCAGAGTCAGTCTTCACTACTTCTCTGTTCATGTCCTGAGCAGAAATAAAACATTCAGTCCAGTTTCTCTTCAGGAAATAACCAGACTGCCCCCTCCATCAGACCCCAGCCCAGGTGTTTCTTCCCTCCCCACTCCAAGCAAGCGAAGGTGTTCCCACATAACAGTACAGGTGGTGTGAGCCACGCTGCCCAAATGGAAAGAATACCCTTCATTACAACTACTGCTCATGTGATAACCTCTGCCAAAATGTGCACAACACTCTCACAAGTCTTTTCTCAACTGAGCAGATGACCACACCAACATCATATCACAGGAGAGAAAACTTAGGCTTGGCCATAGAGGGATTTATTCCAGGTCCCACCAACTACACCAGACTGACTCCAATTTCCAAGGTTTCCCTAGGAAACTAAGGTACCTGTTCTGGGTCTCTCTCACCTCCTGGGTCTTGACGGTCAAAGAGTAGCGCACTCCCTGGTCCTGGATCCTTCCTGCCGACTGGATCTCAGTGTTGCTCCAGCCACAGTGCTCGCAGGAAAAGGAGCTCACGATTATTTCTCTGAAGAATGGGATCTTGGTGAGCAGGAGGCGCGTCATGCCCTGGGGAAGCAGAAACCAGCGAAAGAGAAGTCATGGAAACTGCAGTTCCCCGCCCTACAGATCCCCGGCGCGCCTCGCCCGCAGACCCCCAGCTGCCCGGGCCGCCCACCCCGTTCCCTTCCCGGCGAAAACCTAAATCTCCCTCCGCCCGCGGCCGCTCCCCGCCTCACGTTGCGGTAGCAGTTCATGCACAGAGACTCGATCTCGGTGGGCTGCTGCTCCTCGTCCTCGGCGCTTATGAGCCGGAACAAGGGTCCCGGGGCGGGAGCCCGGGCGGGGCACGAGCCCCGGCAGCGGCTGCCCCTGGGGGCCCCGGCTCCACCGTCCCGCCGGCCGACAGGGCCATCACGCGCCGCTCAGATCGCGGCTTCCGGCTTCCGCACGTCTCTGGCGCCACCTCTTTACGCCACTTCCGCCAGCTTCGGCCCGCCCTTTCTTAAAGGGGCCTCACGTTCTGGGCCCTCTGGGAACAGAGGCTGATGGCGAAGATGGCATGGTCCATAGCGTGCCGGATTCAGGCTTTACTTCCACCTCGATCCACAGGCGTCCTTTACCCCAGGACGTCCTCTCAGACGCTGGACAATTTTTGCTCCTTCGCAATAGCTCCATCGCTCAGAGTCCTAACTCGTGGTCCAAAAATTCCTCTAACAAGCGCCCTGACAGCAAGGGACTTGACAGTCCCTCTGCACAGCAGGTGCACAGCAGGTGCACAGCAGGTGCACTGCAGCCCGGGCTTGCTTCTGTCCACTGTTGGGCAGATTCTGCTTTCCCTTTGCTATGCGCCCCTCAGTTCTTCAGTCACTTCTTTTCTCTTCTCACTCCCTATTTTTTTTCTTTTTTTAAAAGATTTATTTATTTATGCATACAAGAGCTGGGGGGGGGCAGGCCAGAGGTTTGGGGGGTGAGAAGATTCACCAGAGGCAGAGTGGGGAACAGAACAGGCAGATTGACCGAAGTACACTGCTGAGGGGAACAGCAGGTGAGACAGGAGAGGTCTGCTGCACCGTGTGGGTTACTCCCTGGTTGGCCAGGGGAATTGAACCTGTGCTGCAGAGGCTGCAGACAGCTTCATTGGTTGCATCTTAACCCCTTGCGCCACCAGGCAGGCCCCCTCACTCCCAATTTTGGTCCTTATAAACAGTTGCCCAAAGACCTGCCTCAAACACACAGCCCACATTTTTACTTCCACCACATGACCCCAGCTGACTCACCCCTCCCAGCCTCCCAACAACCAAAACACTTCTTTTTGTTAAACCTTCCTTTCCAGCTCCTGCTCTCCCTGGGCATCTCTCCCAGTTATTGCTAAATCCAAGGTATCCTCGAAGAGGTCCATCCTGGGGCCATGATCAGCCCAGATTCCTGTGGGGTCTGTGCTATAAGGAAGTGGGGGTGGGGGTGGAAACCCTGAGCAGGGCACAGCCTGAGGAAAGGGTGCTGGATGGACCATTTCAACAGGGAAAGGGGTGTGTTCACCTTTTATCCCCCCCCCCATTCACCCACCTCCAACTTCAGAGTTCCCTGGGGTCATGAGGCGTGCTGGAGCCCAAGTAAATGTGTATATGAGGAATGGGGGAGGTTAAGTGTCTGGGAGTCCCAAGAAGAGAGTCCATCATAAAAGAGGCCATTCAGTGTCTGCAATAGCAGGAACAAAGGAGACAGGTGACCTGAGGAAGTGCAGGTCCCAGAGCCACTGCTGCTCCAGTGACAGCCTGTACTTCATACATACCACCCTGTGGTAGGCAGCCCAGGGGATAATGCATTTGTAGAGGGAGAGTAACCCAGGCTCATCTCCAGGCCTTGACAGACAGCTGTCTTCTAAGAAGGGGTGGGGATCTCCGGACTGGGAGAGGGTCGATGAGAATGAGCAGCCAGGAATTAGAGCAGATTTTGGGTGTGGTTTGGATAGACATGGTCCAAATGAGAGTCACACCAGGCAAATAAGCTTCCATCATAACATCTATTTCATTTAAGTCTATACTTCACCCTAGAAGTCAGGTGGGAAGGGGAGAGATGGGGAAGACAAAGAGTTTGCTCCCCAGGGCACTTAAGAAGCCCTCAAAGTTTGGTGTCCAGTCACTAGTTTAGATGTAGAGCTATGTAAGGAAATTCTGGTTCTGCCCCTTCCTGTCAAAACCCCCACTATTTTGTATCCAGCAGCATCAGAGCCAGCGGGGATAAACACACACACACACACACACACACACACACACGAGTTACATGTTCTCATCATATTGTACTCCTTTCTCCCTGTTCCTCCCCTGGGTGCTGTCATGTCAGCCCTGGGGAGACAAGAACTCCTCTCCGTGGACTCAGCTGTAGCAGTGACCACCACACAGGCACAGGTGATGGGAGCCAAGCCCTGGGATGAAGTGGCACAGATTTCCAGCACCATGGCGACAGGCTTGCACAAAATTACCTGCGCCTAAGATGCCTCTCTCCCTCCCCACTCCCACCACACCAGAGCAGAGCAACTCATGAGGATTCCTAAATGAGCACTGGAAGCCGGGTTTGCAAAGCCTGGTGAGTGTAATGCATCTGGATGGGGGAATTGCAAGAGGCTGGATATGCTGGGGACAACAGCCTCTTGGGTTACCTCACTTATCCTGCACAGGGCCCTCCACCCTCTGCCCAACAGGCCACTGTCAAGGACTGAGCCATGCTAAGGGCTCAGGTCCTGGGATCCCCAGACAAGGAGCTGGGAAGTGGGCCTGGGCAAGTAGAACCCTCAGGGCTCCCTCAGATGACCCTGACCATGGTCTTGAAGGCTATAATTGATATCTTCCCACAGTTCGTCCAGACGGGCCTGCAGCTGTCTCCAGGCCTTTCCATCGTCGCCTTGAAGGAACTCTGGGGCAAAGTTGCTGTGGCTCGGCGGGGGTGGTGCCAGCTGCTGCTGGATCTCCTGGGTCTCCTGGTCGATGGCTCGGGTGAAGGCAGCGATCTGCTGGAAGGTGTCCTGGCGGAAGGCCTGGAGCCGCTGGCGCACCTCCTCGGAGAGCACCTGGGGGTCCGGACCAGCCCCTTCCTCTGCATCCAAGCCAGCTCGGGCAAAAGCACTGAGTTCGTCGCGCAGCTGGTCCAAGTTCTGCTGGATGCGCACGTGCAGGGCTTTGGCCTTGAGCGTGAGCTTGCTAGACAGCGCCTGCACGCAGCGGCTGAGGCGCGCAGGACTGGCAGAGGTGTGTGGCGCCACTCTGCGATGCAGCTCCTGCACGTGGCGCCCGATGCCGGTCACCAGGCGCTGGGCATAGGGGTGGAAGAGCGCCTTGACGCGGCCGGTGTGATGCACAACACTATTCTGCAGGCTCTGTAGCAGGCCCCGGGCCTCGTCCACTCCCCCCCGCAGCTGGGCCTTGGTGCCCTCTCTGACCACGCGCAACTGCTCCTGCAGCTCCTGCACACCCAGAGCCACCTGCTCCATCAACTCCGTGGTGTAGGGCATCAGCTGCTGCCGTAGACCCTGCAGGTTCCAGCCCACGCGCTCGTGCACCTCCGCCATGTAGGGCTCCAGGCGTGCCTTCACCTCCTCCAACTCGTCCTGCAGCTGCTGACGCATGTCCACCACGTCCTGTGGGAGCTCAGGAAGCTCCCTCATCTGCTCACCCAGCATGCCCAGATTTTCCAGGAACTTGTCCATATTGAGGTCTTGCTCAAGGCTGTCTTTCAGGCTCCTAGAGGCGGGGACATACATCCATGTCATCAGACTGCTAGTCCCTATCCTCTCCTGTGCCCCAGAGACACTGCCCACTGATCCTCTGGGGAACCAAGCCTGGAGGGCCGTGTTCCCAGAGCCGGGGCCCACACACAGAAAGCACAGAGACAGGACACATGCAAATCTGGGCCAACACTACGGGAGGAAGCACGGAGGCACCTGGGCTCTCACACGCTGCTCTCACACATTTGGGGTTCTCTCCTCGGTTCCCAGGTCCCACACCAATGGACAAGGGGCCAGCCAATAGCAATCATGAGGTCAAAGCCAAGACTACCATGAGTAGAGGGCTTTGAAGACACAGGGACCACCAGACTAGTGCCTCTCAGTGCCTCTACCCCAGTGAGGCTGTGGAAGGTGAGGACGCAGAGGCAATGCATCATCGCATGACCCGGATGTCTCCTCCCTTGGCCCACACTGCTTGCCCTGGCCACTCACGCGGGCTCCCATGCCAACTTCTGCTGCTGGATCTGCTCCACCTTGCCTTTGTCCCTGCTGCTCTGGCTGAAGTAGTCCCAGAAGCCTTTCCGTGCCTGGGAAGTTGAAAGCACTGTGGAGAGGGATGGAACAATTAGGGACTCTGGTGGGCTTCCCAACCCACCTCTCCTTGAGGGTGGATAGCTCCTGGGTCCAGCTCCACCCGCACCTCCACATTGAAGTCAGGGTCAGAGACCCACCTGCGAGAAGGGCAAGAGCCCAGGTCAGAACTGCAACCGTGCTTGCCATTATCGAGTCTGAGAAGGAAGGTGAATGGAGGCCTGGTTAGTGTGAAGAAGCACAGGGACACCTCCCACAGGACTTTCCCCTAGGGAGCTGCTGCCAGGGCCAACCTGCCCAGAATCTGTTCATCTCCCTGGAAAGTAGGGAGCACAGAGCTGTTGGGGATTAAGAGCACTGACCTAGATGAGAGATAAGGAAGGAAGGGGTGTCTTCCTCAGATATGGGGGGAGCAGCTCCATTTCCAGCTCAATCACATAATATGGATGTGGAGCTCAAACCACCCTCCCCAAATCCCAGAGCTGTTCCCTAGGCCACTTCTGCCACCACTCCTCACTCGCCTACCTCCCACCTACCTCCCCTCATCTCCTCACCCAGCATGCCCAGTTCTGCCATGGCTGGAAGAACTGAGGCATCCCAAGAAGCAACTCTGCCAAAGTGCACCCAGACAATGTCCTTGGTTCTTAGTTCCCACCCCCAGCTCTCTGCAGAGACCCCTGCAATCCTCTGCTTGAGGACTCCAACCCACATCCCTCTGCCCAGCTGCTCACCTGCTCAGTTCTGGGCACAGGGACCAGACATTCCGCTTTATACTCCGGGGGCCTGGGCCTCTGGCAACAATTGCTCTGAGTAAATACCACGTGGAGGGTCAAAGAAGGATGACCTCACCTGCCTCCCAGTGCACACCTCCTGCCCTTTCCTGGCACCCAGAGGGTTAATGGGCACCCTAATATAAAGGGGCTTCTCTAGTAGAGATGTGCTTGCTGGAAAGTTTGGTTAGGAATGGGGTTGAACTCTTCACCCAGTTCCCCTCAAGCCCCATGACCTTCAGCCTTTCCACTGACCTGCTGGCTGGCCCACCTGTAGAGACAAGCCTGTTTGTCTGCTGAGGGCCCTACTCTTACTCAACTGTCCAGAGACACTGTGCTCCAGTCAGGGACAGTGTCCAGCTGCCAGCCTGAACTGAGCAGCCCTGGACAGCTCAGGCTGCCTGAGAACAGCCAACATTTATAAGGTTAAGATCCTCTCGTCCCCCACTCTTATTGGTGCTCACAAAACGCCTTATGCTTCCCCCCATTTCCCAACCTTCTTTACAATTAGTTGGGGCCATGTGATTATGTCTGGCCAATGGAACGTAAGCAAAAAAAGTGGGTCACCTCTGGACCAGGACAAATAAGAGTAGATGTGAGTTTTCCATACTTCCTCTTTCCCTTCTGTTAGATGGAAGAAAAAAAATTACAAGATGACACAGTTGTGGAGGAAGAGGGTCTACGTTCTGATTTGTGAGTGGAGGAACACCACCTACCAATCTGCAGGAGACTTTACATGTGAGGGAGAAATTAACTTTTGTTGTGTTGTGCCACTAAGATTCAGGGATTTGTTACCTCCATAGAGCCTAACTTATCCAGGCTGATACAGAATCTGAAAAAGGGCAGTCATAGGATATGATCAGTAGAGAGAAGAACCATGGAAAGCCAAGTATAGTTGTAACACAAGTTCTGCACACTCACGTTCAGCCAATGTAGCATGAGAAATACTATATGGTTCGTCCCTGATAGTGGGGCCACCGGAAATTTTTTGTCTCCAGATATGATGCAATAAGAAGGGCCAGATATCACCCATGAAGTATTTAGGACCAAATTCTTCCCACATGAACTTCCTTTCTCTTAACTGTTTCTCTGTTGCTTCATATTATGGTATTCACAGAGAACTGTATTCTCAGAAAACAATTAGCCACCTAGGTTATTTGGTTTTAATCCAAGAATTCATGACATCATTTAGATGTAAAGTAAAAATAATTTCATTATTTTAAATTTTTTTTTTTTTTTTTATAGAGGCATGTTTATTTATTTATTTGTTTGTTTGTTTGTTTTGTTCATACATGCACTGGGTATAGTCAGAAGCGCGGGAGGGTGAGAGAATTCACCAGAGCCAGAGCGGGGAGCAGAGCAGGCAGAAGGACCGAAGTACACTGCTGAGGGGAGCAGCGGGCGGCAGGAGAGGTCTGCGCGCCATGTGGGACCCTCCTCCGGGGGCCGGGGAGCAGCCGGGGATTGAACCGGCGTCGCAGAGGCTGCGGGCAGCTTCGCAACCCAGCGCTCAACCGCTGCACCACCGGGGAGGCCCCTAATTTCATTATTTTAAATTAAAAAAAATTTATCTTATTCTCTAAAAACTACTCTCCTGTTCCACAACAATAGTTTTGTTATAAACATATGCATTAGACAGTATGTGAATCTCAAATAAAAACACAATGTGCAACAAATGAGATCTTCCAGTCTTGTTACCAGTTCTTTAAAGGAACATTAGTGACTCCTCATTCTCAGTAGTCAGTAGAAGTTACTGCAAATTGTTCTTCTTCAGTTTTGTCTGCCAAGACCTCAAGTGTAAACGGTGATGTGCCAGTCTTTGCTTGGTATGATGGTAACTTCTATAATCCATATCAAAACACAGAGGGACATGGATAGAATAATAACAATTTGTTGTGGGCCTACTACATATTGTTTATACTTCTATCACCAGGACTTAAAGGAAGTACATTTAAAAAAAAATAAAATCTGCCTCTCAGATCCTTCAAAAAGAAGTCATTTATGCTTAACATGATGATAAAATAGCCAAACAAGTAAGTAGAAGCCTGTGTAATCACTTTTTATTTGTCTTGAAAGGTAATCTATTTGTATCACTTGTCAAAAAATAACACATCTAACCATGAAGAATATAATAATTAAAGACTTTTTTATTTGGCTACAGTTGGAGAGAGAATTCATAAACTAGAAAATAAATCTGAGAAAAATCACTCAGAAAAAAATCATAGAAATAATCATAGAGAAGGAAAATATGAAATTGAAGATAAGAGAGATGGAGGACAGACTGGAAAGGTTTAATATATGCCTACCTGGATTTCTACACAGAGAACAAAGAGACTATAGAAGAGGCAATATTCAAAAGATAATAGCTAAGAAATTTTGAAAACTGAGGAAAGATGTGACCTGAATCCTCAGTTGCATGAAGCATCCTGGATCTTCAGTAGAGACATGAATCTAGAAACTTCATTGTGAATCTGCAGAAAATCAACCAAAGAGAAAAGACTACTTGCCTACGTGGGAACAGACAGCTGGCTTACTAGCAATAAATCTTCTAAAGACTAAAGGTAAATTAATGGCCAACCTGATTTATAGTTGGGTAAACTTTTTTTTTTATTTATTTTAACTATTTTTTAAGATTTATTTTATTTATACAAAAACCGGGGTACAGGTCAGATGTGCAGGAGGGTGAGAGGATACACCAGAGACAGAGTGGGGAACAGAACAGGCAGACTGACGAAATACACTGCTGAGGGGAGCAGCAGGCAAGGCTGGAGAGGTCTGCTCACCATGTGGGCTCTGAGGCTGGCGGGGATAGAACCGGCACTGCAGAGATTGCGGACAGCTTCACAGAGCTGCGCTCAACTACCTGCGCCACCAGGGAGGCCCTGGGTAAACTTTTATTTCAGAATAAAAAGTTAATGGAACCACAAAAGACCCCAAAGAGCCAAAGCAATCTTGAGATCAAAGAACAAAACTGGAGACATCATGCTTCCTGATTTCAAACTATACTACAAAACTATAGCAATTGAAACAGTATGCAACTGGCATAAAAACAGACATACAGATGAATGGAACAGACTACAGATCCTAGACATAAACCCACATGTATAGAATTACTTACTTTACATCAAAGGAGCCAAGAATATACTATGAGGAAAGAAGTTTCTTCAATAAAGGATGTTGAGAAAACTGGAAGCCACATACAAAAGAATGAAACTGGACCACTGTTTCTGCTTTAAAAAAAATAAATAATTTGAACTTTTTTAAAAGACCAAGCCAGTTTTCTGGTAGTACCATGATTTTTTTTATTTGACACTAAAAGTAAAGGCAGTGAAAGAAAGAATAAACAAGAGGGACTACATAAACTAAAAGTCTTCTCCATGGCAAAGGAAACCATAACAAGATAAAAGGTAACATGCCAAATAGGAGAAAATATGTGCAAACCATTTATCTGATAAGAGGTTAACCTCCAAAAATATAAGGAATTCCTACAGCTTTGAGGTATGAAACAAAACATTCATGGGATGTAATGTATGGAGTGATGACTACAGGTGATAATATTGTATTGAATGTTTGAAATTGCTAAGAAAGTACTGATCTTAAAAGTTTCCATCACAGGGAAAAAAAAACTATTACTACGTGTGATGACGGATGTTAACTAGACTTGTTGTGATCATTTAGCAATACATACAAATATCAAATCATTGCATACCTAAAACTATGATAATGTTGTCTGTCAATTATATTGCAATAAAAGAAAAAGTAAGTTAATTTCAGAGAAGGACTGAGTTTACCACTCACAGATCCTCATTGAAAGAATTAAGGATCTAGGGCCTCCTGGGTGGCTCAGCAGGTTGAGCACAGCACTGTGAAGCTGTCCACAGCCTCTGCAGCACGGGTTCGATTCCTGGCTGGCCAGGGAGATACCCACATGGTGTGGCAGACCTCTTCTGTCACACTCGCTGCCCCCCTCAGCAGTTCTTTCAGTCTGTTTGCCTGTTCTGCTCCCCACTCTGTCTCTAGTGAATCTTCTCACTCTCCTGCTCCTCTGGCCTGTACCCCAGCTCTTGTATAAATAAAAAAAAAATTTTTTAATCTTTAAAAAAAAATAAACAATTAAGGATCTAAAAATGGAAACAGGGCCTCCCTGGTGGCGCAGCAGTTGAGCGCTGTGTTGCGAACCTGCCCGCAGCCTCTGCAGCGCCGGTTCGATCCCCGGCTGCTAGGGGAGGGTCCCACATGGCGCGCAGACCTCTCCTGCCGTCCGCTGCTCCCCTCAGCAGTGTACTTCGGTCCTTCTGCCTGCTCTGCTCCCTGCTCTGGCTCTGGTGAATTCTCTCACCCTCCTGTGCTTCTGACTGTGCTTGTATAAATAAATAAATCTTAAAAAAAAAAAAAGCTACACCCATTTAAAAAAAAAAA